CCAGCATGTAGAATCGTGATTTCACTTTCTTCTGGCAGGTGAAGCTTTTGTGTAGAGCATCTGAGAGGCCGACATGACCAGGTTTAGCCAAAGCAAGTTCTTTTAATTTCTCGAATATTTTGTTTGTATGGGTATGTACCTTTACTCTAAAACCTAATTATGAGGAATTTATATCTCCAATTCTGCACTGAATTTTCCCACTCGATACTTTTGATAAATTCTATATATATCAATGCTTCATTAAGTAAGGCATTGAGCTTTGTATTCTTCAGGAGATGCTTGGTTGATTTCTAGAAAATTTATATACATTTGTATATATTTATGTATGTATGTGTTTGTATATATCAGTGTATGTATATGTATGCATTTATGTATGTATCTTCTCCTTTAGAAAGAGGCTTAAACATAACAAGTGCATTGATTCGTGTCTTGCCAACTGCGGTTCTATGCATTTGGGAACTTCATGTCTATACCATGCTCACCCACGTGACGGTATCTCTGCTGCCACGTGCAACTTGTGACATCACGCCACAACCATGTCAGTTCCACCTGCTCACTGGAGACATGCTCTTAATTTTGGACCCTGTTCGCATCCCCATTCACATCCATTATCTTCCTTCATAAATGATCTCCTACAGTAGTTCTTTCCAGATCCTACTCTTCCGCTATCTTGAGAGTTTCTCTTGGTGAGTCTCCTTACCCATGGATTTGGGGACAACATCTACTTCCAAAAAGGTCCGGCGAGAGAGAACCCCAGGACGCTATAAGGGCGTTCGAATGAGGGCTTGGGGTAAGTGGGTTTCTGAAATCAGGCTTCCAAAGTCGGGAGACAGGATATGGTTGGGCTCTTATGATGCCCCAGACAAGGCAGCTCGGGCCCATGATGCTGCTGCGTATTGCATTCATGGTGAACGTGCAGAGTTCAATTTTCCAAAGAATAGAAGGCCAGTGTTCTCTAAGGGCTCGACAGTTTCCTTGTCCAAGAAGGATATACAGACTATTGCAACAGATTTTTCTTCAGCTGATGTATCAGAGTCTACTCCAGTGTCGTCTACAATGACAACCCAGGTTCCGTCTGATAAACCAGCTTCTCCAAATTTACTGGTTTCTAAGGGTATGGCAAGTGCATATGAAGTGGATAGTGGTTCATTTGCCCCAAGTTGCGCTACTGGAGAAGCTGTTGCTTCACTAGAAAATATACAATTGGATGATTTCCTCATGCTAGATACAGATTGGATAGCTGATTTTTATTAGGTATTTATGTGCATTTATATATGTATATCCAGTTATGTAGGCCAGTCGACAGACGTTGTCATTAATGTGATTATACTATAAAACTAGGACTTGGGAAATTCAACACGTGCGACATCCTCCAAAGAAGACAACCGTCTTCTTGTTTATCTCCTCATTGGTGTGTCTTGTGCAAAGTGTGTGAGGAAAGTGCGGATCACTTGTTCTTGCATTGTTCCTACTCTATAAGGCTGTGGTGGCTCTTGTTGAAGGAAACTGAGGCTGTCTGGGTTATTCCTAAAGGCTATTTCGAGCTCCTTAGTTTTCAGTTTGTAGTCTAGGAAAAGGGAACCAAGCTTCAACCTTAAGGGGCTGTTTGGTGCAGTCTATGTTTTGGAATATTTGGCTGGAACGAATTAGAAGAACTTTTGAAGCTTATGATGGTGTGGACATGGACGCTCTGTGGCTTAGAGTGAAATTCTGGGCAGCATTGTGGGCTTCGGTAACTTTGGGGTTTTGGGACCATCCTTATCCTATTATTATGAGGGATCTTGTAGCTGTTGTGAAGTGATCTGCCTTTAGTGTTGGGTTTCTGGATTTTCTCGGGGAACTTGTTTCGTTTCTTTGTTTTTGCATGGGTTTGGTATTTTTGTTCCTTTTTTTGGCTCTGTTCGTGTTGGTTGTGGTGTGAGGATTTCTCATCCTCTTCTTTGTATATTCTACGTTGCTATTAAAAAAAAAGTATGCTTTGACACTAAATTACTAATTGTTTGGATTTGCTAGACATGTGCCTTTTCACCCTGAAATACTCGGGGTTTGTTGCATGTTTTTAGGAAGCACTTATAAGTGATTTTGCCAAAATTGTTTTTGTTGGAAGCAAGTTGAAATTTTAATTAAAAGTTTTAAGTGCTGTCGGAAAAAAGAACACTTGGAATTGCTTCCTGAAGATTTTCCATAAAACACTTTTAGTGCTTTTATAATACATAAGCACTTTTTCTGTCAAATGCTTTTGAACTCCCTTAAGTCTCTAAAAGCACTACTAAACATGCCCCAAAATTTAGCTGAAAAACGAGTAACGTTGGAGATGCTTGTCCAATCTAGATAAACCGTTTACTTTCCACCCTTTTATGGCATGTTTACGTACTTGGAATAAGTATAGGAATCATTTTAATTACTGATTTAGTTTGCTAGAAGCATGAAACTATTTGTTTGATAAACGGAATCTGATAACACTGGTTTTGGACTCTTGCATTAAGCGCTGGTTTACCAATAGAGGACTTGTATGACCGTATAAATGGAGATTAACAAGAGATTTTCTCCGCCTAAGGAAGTTCTGGTTGGTTCTGAATTACAAATATCCTGCTTTTTGTTCGTTGGTCCTTGCTTGGGCAGGAGTGAGTGGATTATAATGCAGAGGCTGGTCGTCCACTCTTCTGTTTTGTGTTGGATGCGTTGCAGAGTGTGGATATAATTCCTTTTTGCTACTTGTGCTTCCTGGCTGGAGTCTACAAGCCTTTTCAAAGTGCAAAGAACCATTGACTTAACACTTGAGGGTGAGTGTGGTCGTTGCTGAGTACTATGCTACAAGCCTTGTCATTATCTGGCTAAACTCGGCTGAATCCATAGCATTTCCTTAATCTTTGTATTCTCATGACTCTCCTCACCTCTTCCACCCCAAGCCAGTTGCCAGTTTCAGCATGAACCATGCTCAGTAAGGTATAGTTGGCAGCATTCCCAGGCTCCGTTGTAACAAGCTGATGTGCGAAAGATTCTGCTTTCTCTAATCTTCCATGAACCTTGCACGCTGTAACCAACGAACTCCAGATTTTAGTACTTGGTTTCATGGGCATTGATCTAACAAGCTCATAAGCATCTTCAAGCTTCCCTAATCTTCCAAGAAGATTAATATAGCAAGCATAATGCTCCACGCTTAATTGTATTTTATTGCCTTCTATCATACGCTTAAAGATCTTATTTCCCTCTTCCTCGAGGCCAGCATGGTTGCAAGCAGATAAAACAGAGAGGAAAGTGACTGCATCAGGCTCTATCCCTCTCTCTTGCATCTCATCAAGGAGTTGCAAAGCTTTCTTACAATGACCATGAAGGCCATAACTGCCAATCATTGTGCTCCACGAAACAGAATCTTTCCTTGGCATCTCCTTGAAAATTTGATGTGCATCCTTGATACAACCACACTTTGCATACATATTGATAAGTGCATTGCCAATGAAAATGTCAAAACTTAACCCAGATTTCAAGACATAGCTGTGGACTCCACATCCAAGGTTTAGTGAAGATAGAGAGGTGCAGGCAGAAATGATTGCCAACAGAGTTACAGAGTTTGGTTCAATTCCTTCAGCTCGCATCTGGCTAAAGAGTTTCAGAGCTTTTGCGTTATTGCCACATTGAGAATAGCTCCCAATAATCAGACTCCACACCACAACGTCTTTAACAGGTACCCTTTCGAAAATTAGCTTGGCAGGACGCAAAGCTTTCCCGTGTTTGCAATACATGTGTATGAGGGCTGCTGAGCAATGATGATCTGAATCAAACCCATTACGAAAAGTATATGCATGAATCGCTTTCCCATGTTCTATAAGTCCCAATTCGGCACAAGCCGGTAAAATGACAAGCACCGTCACTCTGTTTGGTTTCAATCCTTCAACCTGCATTGCCCGGAAGCATTCCATTGCCATGTCATAACTGTGATTAGCAATGCATCCCGAAATCAAGGCAGTCCAAGAAACTTCATTTTTAACTTCCATTTGATTAAAAACATGTAAAGCCATCAACGAGTCATGACACCTCATATACAAATCTACCAGAGCCGTTGACAAGAACACCGACTCCTTAATCGTTCCATCAACAATGACGAGTCCGTGAATCTCTCTGCCCAGTCTCAACTCTCTTGTCCTTGCGCAAACTGATACGATGCTGGCAATCAACTCCGCTTTTGGTATAAAACCATGAAGATACATTTGCTTAAGCACTTTTAGCCCCTCTTCGAGATGCCCATTTTGTACATAACAATTTATCAAGGAATTCCACGTGATGGTGTCTCTTTCAGGCATTTCATCAAACACCTGACGTGCAGCTTCAACAATTGTAAATTTCGCATACATAGAAATGAGAGAATTGGATACAACTGGGTCGGAGTCACAGCCTGACTTGAGAGACAAGCAGTGAAGTTGAAGCCCAAAGTGATGGGACATTGCATAGGAGCATGCTTTGATGATGGAAGGGAGAATAAAGGAGTTTGCATGGAGGCCAAAGGGATGGAGCTCTTGTTTGTATAGTCGAAGGATTTGGTCATATAATCCTTTGACAACCAAGTCTTTGATTTTAAAATTAAGGGCTGAAATTGTAAGTGCGGGGCTTAGACTTGAGGTGAACCGCCTGATCACATGATAATGCATGATGGATAGTCTTTGATTTTCTGGACATATTATTGACTGCTATGGTAACCATTAGGTTTCTGCATTAATAGTCAGCGGGCATATAAACATTATATGCTAAGATGCAATGAGTTTAACAACATGGTTGCTTGCTTTAGGTGGTGACGAAATGCTTACTTAGGCTTATGAATTGTTTTAGGTTTTGTTGTCTTTTTTAGCTTGGTGTTTTGACTGTCCTCTAATGAAGTTTTCTATTTTGATAATATAAAAAATAATGCAATTAAAATAGATTTTTAATTTTTATCTAATGAAGTATTTTGCGCTTAATTCTATTATATATAAAAATAATTTTTATATAAGCTGCATTGGGGAAGGGGAAAAGCAAACTTATAATCCAATACATGAGTAAATACTATTAACTACTTGAGCTATAAGCTTCTCGCGTGCACAACTGAAGACATGAATATTGGCATTACATTTTGAAGCCTTTTATTAATTAAAAAGCCCAGCTTGGAAGAATGCACCGAAATCCAGAAGGGGAAGTAGGCTGCTCCCGGGCGGGGCAACATGATTTTGATAAAATTGATGTGGATGGTGGGGATGATGGCCACACCTCAGCTCTTCTCCCAGTCTTCCTCACTGCTTTTACAATCATTTTGCGATCCATAAATCCCAATACCGTGATCTTGTTGGATATCACATCTATTTCAACGCATCTTACTCCTGTGAAATTCATATAATTCAAATTAACCATGCATACATACAGGATACATTATACATATGTTATGTATATATCATCAATGTCATGCACGTGTACCTTTGATTCTGCACAAGGCTTTGCGAACTGCCTTCTCACAGTCCCTGCAATGTAGACGAACCTTTAACTCTACAACCTGAGTGTATCAACTGGGATCAATATTAACAGTACCATACATTACATAGAAATAAACACAAACTAAATTGAAGTGACTGAATGGACAGAGAGACATATAAAAACCTCCATAAATTATGAACACCAAGGCAGAGAGAGCAAAAACAGATCAATATCAAGTAACCAACCGTATGCCCGCCCGCGCTTTTGAGTTCGATGGATGATGAGTTGCTACTAAACAAATAGCTAGCAGAGCAGCGTGAGCTAAATGATTGCTAAATTTCATAATGATTACTAATTATAACAATCATGTACAGCAGCATGTGCGTGTGGGTGTGGCCATTCTTCCAAGAAAAAGAAAAACCGAAAAAACAAAAAGTACGTATTTTTTATCCAGAAGAAATTATTCAATGTCGATTGCATCATTACCTGGATATTGTGTGTAAGCGTCTATTATAAGCTTTCATAATCACATTGTGTTGTCTTGTTATAAAATTTGAGGTAAATTATTATGTTTATGTTGTCAAACTATGAATTATTATGGTGTTCTCTTGCCGAACAAATATTTATATTAAGAAAGCAAGACCGCGCAAATGAATGATTAGAGTGTTGATAGCCACATTTTGGTCCTTTAATTTGCAAAATGGTTGTGGTGGTCCTTAAACTTCACTTTCGTTAGCAACCGAAGTCTTGTCGTCTCTTATGTTAGTTTCTTCATTAAATTTAGGGGTTAATGAGTATTTTTATGTTGGTTTTAGTTCCCATCATTCTAAAACTAGGGTTGGCATTTTAGACCGACCAAGCCAAATTGGACCAGACCGAATTGGCCGGTTCGACTCTTTTCCCTATTTTCTTGACACCAATGCCCGAATCAAATCAAACCGTTAGATTACGGTTGGGGAACGACTCCTGTATGCTTAAATCATCGGTTTTCGGTAAACTGACCGAAACCTAAAATATACATTAATCATGGAGTTGGGGAGAGTCGACCCTTGACCTCCAAGGCTAAGAGGGGGTGTATCCAATTCAAACTTTTAATGACTTTTATAGAGTTTAAAAGTCCGAAGTTATTCAATTTAGATTTTTAAAGAGTTTATAAAAGTTTAGTGGTATTCAATTGTGACTTTTAAAAAGTAGTTAAAAGTATTTAAAAGTTTTGTGGTATCCAGTTGTGACTTTTAAAAGTCTTTAAAAGGGTTTAGGGTTTAGTTACTTTTTTTTAATAAATAGTACAGTCGCACAACTATACTGGGGTCTTGTTTTTCTTAATTTTTTTAAAAATAAATAGTATGGCCGCACAACTATACTTTTTAAATATAATATATTTAAAGAGTATAGCTGCGTGGCTATATCGTAGTGTTTTTTTTTTTAATTTAAATTTTTTTTAAAATAATATATTTAATCGGGTCCCTTTTTCTTAATTTTTTTTTCTTAATAAATAGTATCGTTGCGATGCTATACTCTTTAAATATATACTTGGATTCTTTTTTTATAATTTTTTTTCCCCAGATTTTCGTTTTTCAATAAGAGCAATAAGAGTAGTTTAGAGCTTATCCACTACTATTAGGCCATTACTCGAGTATCTATTATCCCCTTTTGATTTTTTTTAATTTTTAAGAGTTATTACCCGTATAAAGAATTTAGCATTTTTCCGTTTAATACTCGTATTATACACATACGTATGTGTTTTTCAATAATACTTCCGTTTTCGACACACGTCTTAAAGACTCAGTAAAATACACGTTTAAAAAAAAAAAAAAAGCAAACATACAATACACGTATTGTACATGTATGTATGTATTTTTCATGTTTAATATACGTATGTTTTTACAAAATTTTCAATAATACACACAAAATTCACGTATTATACACATAATTTTCACATATTATTAAATTTAAATAATTAAATAAAATATATTAAAATATTATATAGTGGGGGAACTTTTCAGTTGTAACTTGCCAAAATTTTGCCGAATAAAATACGTACGTATTTTACTCGTATTTTTCCCGTTCTATATTTTACCAACTATGAAAGAATTTGAGAGGGTAAAATTATTTCTTACTTGTTGGAAGAAAAATGCAAGATGTTGATTTTTGCAATCTCTTTGCGAACTAGAACAACAATTTCATCCAAAGTTTTATGGGTATGGTAGTAAGAGAGTGGTAGTATTCTTTGTCTAAAGTGTTGTTTGAAAAGTGAAGCAATTATCAAGACCACTCCAACTCAACACGCAATTATCTATGACAAATAATGTGTGCAGTTACATAATTTAGTAGCACTAGAGAGAACGAGGTAGATCAAAGCCAAACATTCCCACGAAAAAAAGAAGAAGAAAAAAAATGAACTCTCATATTGATTTACTGTGAAATTTCTCTCTTTTCAATATTTGCTTTGCATATGTTGAAACTAGCAAATTAATAACTATAAAGTATAAACTAATGGAAGTAGGCCACAAAATTTCAAAATGGCTAGGGCACCATTCTTTGCAAACTCTCAAACTAAAAAGCTTATGTTTTGCTTTTAGTGTAACCTCTCTTTGTTAACTGTGTTTCCCGAGTATAAGGGTACTTGCAATACACTTATAGTGGGACCTAAGAAGGGCAAAGTAAAAGTTTATCAGCCTAATGATTTTCAAAATCACACAAATTTCGAGTAAAAATACCCTTGTATACCATGAGTCCTAAAACTCTAACAGCCAACGTTATTTCCAAAGGAACTGTCAAGGGCAGATCAGGTTGAGGAATGATGCTTTTCATCATGTTAGTTTTTACTGTTGAAATGTTAATAAATAGTATAGCCGCGCAGAGTAGGATAAAAGAGTGGAGAGCGGGTAGGGAAGCCGCTTGGGTTGGTGTTGCTGGGAAGAGTTAGGATTTGGGTAAGGTTTTTGTTTTATAAATTTTTAATTAATTTATTTAAAAAGCATAGAGAAGAAAGATTTTTTTAATTGTTAATTTTTCCATATATATACATATATATATATATATATATAATTAAACAAGTAATTAC